TATTTGTGGGCGAACGCGGCAGCCAATTGCGCACAGCAATGTCCCACAAACAGTCTCGGATTGAAAATGACCAATTTATTATTGTTTTGTTTTGGAGGGATTATTATTAGGCTCTGTGTGGAGTAAGGAAACTTGCCCAAGGTTTCGCCCTCTGCCTGGAATTGAACCCAGGTATCTCGCTTGCAAGGCGAGTGCTCTAACCACTCTACTCTACTCTACTCCAGCTATTATGTCTCTGTGAATCTGAGATGCCACCACCTCAAAAGGCCCATGATGTTGGTTAAACAAGATCTGCCCTTCTGAAGCAGTCTCAGCTGTTAATTTATTTTCATAATTGGTTCTATTAGTTTTCTAAGAGCAGCACTCTTATCTCTGGGCCTAAGGTTGTGGTTTCAAAGCGACACATTGCGACTTGAGCTTACAGTCTCGCTTGAGAGTACCGAGATAAGAGTACCCAGGAGGGAGAGTTGCATTTTTGGAAGTGCCATCCTTCAGATTAGAGTTTAAACACATGGTCCTACTCTCTGTTCAGCTGGATGTTAAAGATAACATGAGACTACAGGGCGACCCCATTATAAAGCACCGGCTGAAGCATAAGTTCAGTTATAACATGGGTCCCCTATGAGTCCACAGATACCAAAATAAGAGTTATTTTACAAATCCCCTCCCTTGAGCCTTGGAGGTCCCTGGATATTCAATTAATCTATTTTGAAGGAATTGTTTTTCAGGCTCTTGAATCTATCCAGAACTCTCTGCCAATGTCAAAATCCTGGAACTCAAACAACAACATGTTAGATGTTGGACAGCATATTGTTAATGTGCCAAGGAAAAACTTTTAAAAAGTGTTCATTTAATATGTTTACAAGGTCCTGTTCATCCTCAATCTGCACTAATTATGTTTGCTACACTCATAGTTTAATATTAAACCATTACAATGTTTAATAAATCTTAAAGAAATGATACTTTTTTAGATATCACGACTTTTTGGTCACCCTGTATAAAGAGATATTTTACCATAAAGAAGCTGTAAGATCCTTTACCAATGATTGATGTTGATTCCTGCCATGTGATATTTATCTCCAGAATAATCACAAGATAATTCAAAATTCTTTGACATGGTTATTTTCCTGCATATAGTTAATACGTAACTATTAGAGTTTAATGGATGAATAGCAGAAAAGGCTGGAGAAAGACAGGTTAAGCACATATAAACTCTTCCATTTTCATCTCGGGACAGTTTTAAGCAATGATGCATGTTAAAATTAGTTAGATCTCAGTCTTATCCTGCTGATCCTCTTTTACTAGTTCACTCATTCGTAAAGGACAAGACAAATCAAGTTCAGAAGACCTAGTGTCTTCCCAGTGCCCACAGAGACCACACTCTGCTCAGCCCCAGAAATCAATGAGCATGTACCCTGTATTATAGCAATACCCGAGAAAGTGTAAACTTTACCATTTTCATTAAAATAGTAAAAGAAAAGAATAGAAAACGTAGAAGTTTCACCGACAAAGTGTAGTCAATTCACTTCACAGTATATTCTGTGAAGCACTTTGAGTCGCCTTAACGATGTGATAAGGCGCTATATCAAATGCAAGGAATATTATTGTAATATTGTTAATATTATTGGTGGTTATGTGTAAATATTTAACAGATCCACTTCATTTGAAATGCCTGGATGCCTTAAAGAAATCAAGAAATATATACAGATTGATGATTTCATTCAATGAGGCTATTATAACACATATCAACTGTTTTTAAATGTAATAATTCACTCATATTTCGCCCACGGTTTATATACGGTCAATTCACTTTACAGCATATTCTGTGAAGCGTTTTGAAACGCCTAGAAGACATGAAAAGCGCTACATCAAATGCAAGGATTATTATTATTATTGTAAGTGCCAAATTGTTCTTATTTAATATTAACATATTGTGTTTTTTTTCTAACCTGAACTAACATACTTTTTTAGGTTTGGAATCCACACTGCTGTTGAATTGTATACAATAGCTGTGAGGTATGATCTGGAAGGGAGACTGTTGTCTTGGTGTCTTCTGCAGTTGGATATTAAATATGTAGATGTTTTTTAATATAAATTATGAAGCACACACTGTGACCAATGAACTCCCAATGTACTGTACATAGCATTTCCAGAACATTTATTTTAACATTCAACGGCAAATGAGATTTTAAATCTGTAACAACATTCATGCATCAATGCATGCTTTTAATTAAGATACTGTAGTTGTTGTAAAACTTCAATCATTTTCATTCGCTGGCAAAGAAAATAATTCAATGAATGGTTCCAGTTACCCAGTTGATTAACCCTCATTTTTTGTTGCTCGCAGCCATTGCCAACTTTAAGTAGAATCCATGCATATATCCACGTACATCCGATAAAACTGGTTTGAGATTGCTTTTAGATAGAGCAGACTACATTAGAATTCACCTTTTTTTAATATACCCAGTGGAAACAAAATCAAATTTCAATAATATGTCATTTTGAAAAAAGAGAATATTGGTCAACTACCATTCTAAAAACATGATGGACCCCGTATTACGTTCAAAAGTTTGTAAAAAGATCACAGTGCATATAAATGTTATCTAAAATATTATTTAAAAAAATAAAATAAACAGACAAACAAACAAACCAAGTAGTTCCCCAGTGCT